TTTATTATAATTTATCTATTTTCTGATTATTTTTTATTTAGTCCTGCCTTGGTTCTAAAGTTGCCTTACCCCAATAGCATTAAACTAAAAAAATTCAGACAACTTTCCTTGCTGCAGATGTCTTGAAATAAGATTTCTCTTTTTTCTTTTTTCCTGTCAATTTAGATTTATGCAGGTAGGCACAAGCCTGCAGTGGACAGACTCTGTGTTGGCATCCGTCCCGGAGAGGTAGGTTGTTCAATAACACTACATTGCATTCCATGGATAAGTTGAGATTTCATGCCCCTTCTGATTTGCAAGTTGGAAATACTAAAGAATGTGATAAATTTTATAATTTAGTGCTTTGGTCTTTTGGGAGTGAATGGCGCTGGCAAGACAACAACGTTCAAAATGCTGACTGGAGATACTGATGTGACGTCTGGAGATGCTGTGGTGGCTGGCAATAGGTAAGTACCTTGAAAAACACAGCCTGTGACAGTCCATTTACCAGGGTAGAACTGCCCACTTCATAGTCTCAATGACCCAGCTGCAATTTTCCAGTTTTATGGCACTGAGAGAGACCACAGCACACACTGGCACTTCCTATTTTTATCACTTTGTTGTAAAATCTACGGGTAAGTCATAGAAATGCTAACTGTGGGACAAGGCAATTGGATCTAATGACAAGAGCTTGCAAACATAAGATAACCAGTCCAACACAGTACTTTGATCTGAGCTCTGAGACTTTTCTCTGGCTGTTTCTAGCACCTTTGTTTACACAGTGCTGGCATAATGTCATAAGTTAATACAGCATGATCTGGTATTCACTTGTTAGCTTAGTTTCAGGTTGTGTGTCTTGGTTTGTTAGGTGTAGTTGGGATGTGATTCTTTGTCCACTGATGCGATTTGAACAATAGCTGTTTTGCTGCCAGGACATAGTCCTGGGCACCCTGCTCTAGGTGACCCTGCTTGAGTAGGATAGGTGGAGAAGATGACCTCCAGAGGGCCCTTCCAACCTCAACCCTTCTGATTCTGTACTTTTGCCATTATTGTTCCCACCAAAGTGTTAGCTCAGTGTGTTGCCTGTCTGATCCCAGTGACCACACTCCGAGATTAAATTGACTGATTTTTTTTCTTATAGAAATAAACACCATTTGCAAAAAGTATGATTTGAGTGGCTGTTCAATGAACTTATCATTAAGTTAGCTTATACTTAAACAGGAAAATGGGTGAGGGGAATTTGACTTATGCTCTTAACCAGGACTGAGCTACTTAGATGAAAATATAGTCCTTGTTATTCTATACAGACAGATACTTTAGCAGGATGTTTCATCACCAAGAATTCATTCTCCTCTTAGAAGAGTTGTTGCCACAAAAGATAAAGATTTTATTTGAAGACTATTAAAGCTAGTATTCTAGGTATAAGATTATTTTCTTTGTTTCTCCAGTATATTGACCCACATTTCTAATGTCCATCAAAACATGGGATACTGCCCTCAGTTTGATGCCATTGATGACCTGCTCACAGGACGAGAACATCTCTACTTATATGCACGCCTGCGGGGGGTTCCAGCACAGGAAATCAAGAGGGTAAAGCATTCTTGCTTTTGACATATACATAGTTACAATGAATATATGTGATGATTAACTGGATTCATAACATGCCAAGGGCCAGAATTTCCAAAGTGGGCTCACCATTCTGTGTGGAAGTCATGGAAATGGTTCCTGTCGTTTGGACAGTTAAATACAAGAGTGCACTATCAAATGGCATTAACTGTGCTTGCAAAAGTGTGGCACCAACTGTGGAAGGCTAAAGATGCAATTGCTGAGAACTGCACTGGTTGCTGTTTTGTTCTTGTCTTTAAAGTTGTTTATGTATAAGAAAGAAAACATGAAGAAGATTCCAGAAGACAATAATTTAAATTCTTGCACAGATAGAAGTCTACAGCTGAGGCTGGTTTATGGCTTTCCCTTAAGTAGCTGAATTCCCCTCATCATCATAAATCTTTTGGACTCCCCTTCTCTAGTTCTAAAATGAATGTGCCAAATCCCAGGGGACTGCCATGTCTCTGCCAGAAGAGGGATGTATCAGCACTCCCATCTGTTATGCATTAGCTGGTGTGTGAAAAAGATGATCTTTCTCATAGGTTGCTGAATGGGGCATCCAGAAGCTGGGACTTCCTATGTATGCAGACCACCTGGCCGGTACCTACAGTGGTGGCAACAAGCGCAAGCTCTCCACTGCCATTGCACTGATAGGCTGCCCACCACTCGTCTTGCTAGTAAGTGTCATGCTGACATAGCTGTGTAATAGTTCGATATAACATCTCATAAAACTAGATGCTAAAGAGGTACAAGGATGTTTATGACAGTCCTTGCAAGCTCCTTTCTGCCCTCAACTTACATCTACTTCAATGTAGTTTTTTCATTTTGGAGATAGACTGGGATGCATAACTATGTTTTCAGTGGAACCCAAGTGATTATGAAATAAAGATCTATGGTTTGATAAAATCTATAATCCAGACAAATCTGAATTTTAATCCATGTATGGTTTCAGTCTGCCTTTTCTTGTAGTCAGTCTGCCTTTTCTTGCCTTTTTCAGTCTGCCTTTTCTTCATTCATGTAAAAATGATCTTACAACATATACCTTGCTGCTTTATCCAGCAGAACAGAGGAAAATAGCTACCCTTTAATATCCTTGGAATAAATTATACAAATTTAGACTAAACTATACAAATGTTGAAGTGTAGGTCTCATCAAATAACATAAGTTATCAGATAACTGCATATCTCAAAGGAAAGTCTAAGTCCAATTACAACAGAGAGTCAGTATTTAGATTATACTGTGCCACCTTAATTTGAGACTAAAAATAAACCTTTTCATAACATTTTAATAGCATGGTTACTTGAGCCATTAAATATGCTTTTACATGTATTCTGCCTGTACATAGTAAACAGCCAGATAAAATGTTTTTTTATAATTTCTTAAGACAAAATGTTGATTGTTTTTCCCCAAGATTTTTTCTTTAACCTTGTTTTTTTTTTTCCCCTAACTGGGTTAAATAATTTATGCAGGACCAGATTCCTAGCTGGTGTAAGTCAGGGTGACTTCACTAGCTTCTTGGGTTGAAAAATGAGTCCTATATGTTTATGTAAGTAAGGAGGTTACTTGGGCAGAACTCACTCTCCTCTTACAAGCGTTGCTGCCCCAGAAAAGGAAGATTTTATTTGAAGTGTCCATCTCTGTCTTAAAGCTAGCATTATGAATCTAAGATTCTTTTATTTGTTTCTTCAGTATATTGACCTACATGCCTGATGTCCATCAAAACGTGGGAACCAAACTTGGCACAATTTGATGTAACTGGGACTGCATGAGCCTCTTTCCATTTATTTCTATTTTGGGTCCTGATATTTTTATAATGAGGTGTTACAAATGTTTACATTTTTTATATCTAAGACCCTAGACTGGTGACTGCCTTTGTTGTAATGGTCACTGCATTCCCTTCCCTGGAGCTGTGCCCTACACAGGCAGCAGTATATTCTTACCTGCAGTTTCTTGTACTTGCTTCCCTACTGCTTTGTGCCAAGCAGTACATTTGTACCCATTCCCTCACGTGTTTCTCAAGGTGCATGTGCTTTCTCAAGGCACAGATTTCAGTAGGGAAGCAGCTGTATGCTAAGGCCTAAACACACAATGTATGATGTGATTCTAAGTGCATTTTCATATCCACTTCTTTGACTCTGATTGTCTTAACGTTTCCCTTGCAGGATGAACCAACTACTGGAATGGACCCTCAGTCCCGGCGCCTCCTGTGGGACTCTATTGTCAGCGTGCTCAGAGACGGGCGAGCTGTGGTTCTAACGTCACACAGGTAAAAAGAGTTAGAATTAAGAATCCCAGAGCAGCTGAAGTGCATCTGCTGGCTTTTATCTCAAATATCTGTTCTCTGTTTTGAAAGTATGGAAGAATGTGAAGCCCTCTGTACTCGTTTAGCCATCATGGTAAAAGGTACCTTTAAATGCCTGGGCACAATTCAGCAGCTAAAATACAAGTAAGTAGAACAATTTTATGGTGTTTCTTAATGGGAAAACTTAGTGTATGTGACGTGTACCATTCTTAATACAACACGAAGAGCTGTTGTTTGAACAGACCCATTTCTGGGTGCAACTCTGGTATCCTAGACAATTCGAGCAGACCTCGTTTCAACTCTGCTACGCTGCACACGCCTTCTGCAGGGCAAATACAGATCTTCCTACAAAGCTAGATTTTATGTGTTATCTTTCAGATACTGTTGATGTTTTTGTAGCTTCTGAAAATTCATTTCCTTCCTGAATAATGAAACCATCTCTTCATCCAATTTCCAAATCCACATGTGCTTCCCAGGTTTGGAGATGGCTACATTGTCACTCTGAAAATCAAAGCTCCCAAGCCTGGGCTGCCTCCAGATCCTACTCCTGCGGAGCAATTCATACGCATGAACTTCCCAGGAAGTTTACAGAGAGAGAAACACTACAACATGCTGCAGTATCAGATTTGCTCCTCCTCTCTGGCTAAGATTTTTCGGTTAATACTCTCCAATAAGGAAAATTTGCATATTGAAGAATATTCTGTGTCTCAAACAACTTTAGATCAGGTGAGTGAAAAATAAAGCATCCATGAGAAAGTCTGTCTGGTGAGAATTAGGCAATGCAATGGGGATGTATGCAAACAATTGAAGGACCAAACTGTTCAGAGTACAGAATTATCTCACACTTCTTTCTGAGGCAAAATTCCCAGACCCCTCCTCAAGGAGGGTGGATCATATATGAAATCTGGAACTAATTCCCTGTGTAAATAGGTACTATTTGAAAGCTGGTATGACAGTGTTTCCCAGATGCCAGAATTCACGCAACCCAATCCTTCAGAAGCAGCAGTCTGAGCAAAGTCAACTTTCAGAATGAGACTTGCTGAGCTGGGAATAATGGGGTTTTTTTCACATAATAAATTTGAATTATGTTGTGTCAGAGATACCTTGTTAAATGTTTGTATGTCTCTGTCATGCACTTTTATACAGGAGCAATTAGACACAAAACTGGAAAGTTCACTGGGACTGCTGGCAACACCCACTTGCTAGAGGATATTAGCCTCATCTGCGTGCTTTCCTAAGTAGCTGAGGGTCCACATATGCAAAGCTGTCTTTGATTGGAATGCTAGACAGATGTTCCTGGCTGCCTTACAGCTTCCTACTAAAATATCCTGTCTCCTCTCTCCCATCACAACCAAACTCACGTTGTGCAAGCCATGCAAACCTTGCTGAACACATCTCCTACTTAAGAAAAAAAAGAGGGTTTTAGTTGCAAATAAGTGCATCCAAAGGAAGTCACAAGAAAGTTTATCAAAATAAAGAAGGAATTAATGATCCCTGCTGATATGTAGTGTCTCAGTTCAGTTCATCTCTGTGGATTCCCCTTTCTGTGTCTTTACTGCAAAGAGGCCTAGAGGATGCACATGTACTGACACTCCACTAACTCAGCTCAGTTGAAGAGATCATGACATTTTCTGCCTTCCTCACACAGGTTTTCGTGAACTTTGCTAAGCAGCAGATGGAGGATGAGGAAATTCCGTTGCATCCCCGTGCAGCTGGAGCCAGCCGAGAAGCAAAGGTGTCCCCTGCTTTGCATCAGCAGGCAGTTGCATAGACTATTTCTACAGCCACGAGCATTTAGACTGTGCACAGTGCAAAGATGTGCCATACCAGAGCAGTACAAGGGTAAACCAAAAGTTCCCACACTCAGTATTACACTGATTTTTTTTTTTCCACCTTTCTGAGCACTGCTCACAACAGCAACAGCCAACTTCTACTGCTCTACCAGGGACACTACATGCTGAAAGTGTCAAAGGAAAGGCAGGTCCTTGCTATAGATCAAAATCTTCCTCCAACATAAAGTTCATTATATGATACGAGAAGTCTCATTCCTCCTTGTTGACATGTAAAGAGCATTAAAGACAGTTTCTCTATCTGGTCCTTTGAGGCTGGTAGGTTTCTCTTGTTTAACTCTCAAGTCAGCTGCTACCAGTCAGCAGACAGGTCCCAGGGCAGAGAGCACTGCCCAGCTTAGAAGTGGATTCCTGCCATCCTGAGTGCACAGGACTACCAAGGTCAGAACATCAGTGCTGGCTGATAGGACTAGTGCTGGGAGGCTGCTTGACTGTCTCACCAGGCTGCCAGTGAAAACAGACGGATGTCTCAGCAAGAATGGGAACAATTATTTCAGATCTCAGACCCAGGCAAGGAATTTGCTTTAAAAGAAAAATCTTAATCAAAGTGATCTCATACTCATCTTCAAATTTCTCATATAGAAGCAAAACGTCAAAATGGAGATTGAAAGGAAAGAGAGTATGTCCAAATCTGCCAAAAGTTTTGTTTTCTCATGGAGGCCTGGAAAGATGTCTTTGTTACTAAACAAGATCTGATTTTTCTCCTTTCCTGTGACTGGACCTTAGGTGGGTGTAAAGTGTGAGTAGAGTATGTGTTTTATCTGTGCTCTGAAGGAAAAATCCAACCTGCTTGTACTCCACACTGCATTCGGTGGGAAATCATTTGACATTTAGATTTTGTGTCTGGTTCACAGTTAAACTAGTGGAAAATAACAATACTGAACACGAATTAAGAATGATGTATTGCTTCAGTTATCTACCACATCTAACCATTTCTAAGAAATCTTTTCTAAGATGTGATTTACAGAAATAAAACCTGGGTCTTGTATTTTTGCTTTGTTAGGTGTTTTTTTTCCTTCAATTGATGTAGATTTTTTTTAATATAAAGACATCCTTGCTTTTTACTGTACAAAATACTACGAAACTTCAGCAACCAGCTGTAGTCTTCTCCATTTGCCATAATTATTTCAACTGATTTCAAAATATAGTCTAGAATTTATTGCATATTTCACCCTTACAAATAGTTGCAAAAATCCTTCTATACATCCATTATAGATAAATAAATAAATCATGAAACAAAACAGTATCTATGCATTCTCTTCATATTCTAAAATAGTTTCTTGAAAATGTCTTTCAGATAGATGGCAATATTCTTTTTTTTACTAGATTTCCACAAACCCAACTGAGTCCCACTGAACATCTTGTGAAAAAGAAAACACAGGAAGTCCAAAATGTAGCTGATTTTTCTCCCTGGCTCTGAAAATAGGAAGGGAAGCTGGCGTTCTGAGGACTAGCAGTCACCTCATGTATTTACGAAGTGTATTCAAAATTATTCGGAGAATGCTGACGTAAAATGCTAGGAAAAAGGTCCTTTAGTATCGTAAGGACTTTTTATATGAAAACAGGCCAAATATTACAGATACAGCATAGATCAGATCTTCTCAACCTTACTGACTAGTATGTCATTTACTAATGAGGAAGACTAAAAACAAACAAACAAAAAACCCCCAACAATGCAGGATGTTACATCCACAAATACTACAAATACTTCTTACTCCGGATTCTTTCAGCAAATCAGGGGCTAGACCCAAATCAGGTATTTGAGATATTGCCTATTTCTTTATTCCAGGAACCATTCATATTCTTTGGTAATGTTATTTGTTACAAAGCACCTGCCTCCAGGCAGCACACTCTCTTCTTCAAGTCAAAGAAGGCAGATCATGCAACTGTCTGCAGGCCAGCTGGCCGTGCTGGCTGCGCTGAGCTCTCTAGTAGTTAGCTGGTATGTCCTCGTTCCAATGTACTTCTGTCTTGCAGAATGCCACTGCTAAATTTGGAGCTGCTTTTCAGCACAGACTTCTCAGAATCTCTGATCCATCAATCTAAATAGACTAGTACAGGAAAATCTCAGTCAGTCAGGTTACAGTGAACTGTAGGGTCTTTTGACTACCAGCTGTGCAATGAAGCCTCATTTTTCAAAGGTGAGTTTGAGTTGAGAATTCTTGGATGCGAGGAAGTGCAGCTTTCAAGTGCGTACAATTTCCCTCAGCAGTGGAGATTCAGCATGCACCAAAATCCTTTAAATTAATTCACTTATTTGGCAGGAGGTTTATGAGCTTTTCTTCTTGAAGTTCTGTGCAATATTCAAATTAAACCTTTTTTTCTTACAACAGAAAGGGAATAATTGGCATTCGAAGACTTGGATAATCCTTGAATTCTCGTAGGTAGGTGCAGTGTTTATCCTTTGCCCAGATTGTCATCTGAATGAAGCAAAGCAAGGTGAACAGCCCCACTGCAAGGAAGGGAGAAAAAGACAGGTTTCATTATCAGATTAAAAACACACTCTTGTTGCTGACATCACTTCAGGGTGAGGTACCAAAACATTACTCACCTGGAACACACTGAGTCATGATAGTGAAACTGATCCAGGTCCCCACCTGTTTTGGCCAAGGAAATTTAAAATATTTCTGGTGACAGCATTTGCATTTATGTCTCTATTGATCAAAAACAACCTTGTCCTAGTATAGGTAAATAAAAAAGCCAAGGTCAGCCAGATCAATTTCTAGTGTCAATAACCTTTAGCCAAAAAGGTGAACAGTGCCTTATTATCACAAACAAAACCTTTCTGTTCGCTTCCATAGCAATTATCCCAACAAAATTTCAAGCATTACAACATAGCATCCTGTCCATTTCTCAGCCTAATTTGTATTTGTCACACCTCCATCAGTGCTAGGAATGGGGACTTTCTGTAGCCTGAGGCCAAATGCTGCTGCTCTCATTAACATCTGTTAATCTCCACTGAAATTAAAACCTCATGCTGTCCTTCTGTGCAAGGGTGACTTTTACACCAAGTTGCACTGGTTTTAAGTGCTTTTGAACTGAGCTCCTGATTAAGGAATGTGAAGTGATAAACTGATTCAAGCTCCAAAAGCAGTCACCAACACCAGTGAAAAATGGGGAAGAAGACGTGGGCCTATTGCCTCCACTACAATACCTTCTGTTCATCTATTTCCCCATTTTCTCTACCATAATATCTTCTCTTCATCTGCCTGCTATCTTCCTGCGCACTGTGGTATTCCTGGGTGCTCTTGTATTGTAAACCCACCAGACGCCCCCATCCCCTCATTGCAACACACATTCAGTGGCAATCTCCTTGTTCCTGTCTGCAAAATTTGCACTTCTTCAAAGTGTATCATCTGCCTTGTCTAGCAGTCACGCTGAAGCAGAAGCCCAGGGTCTGGGCTGTCTGTTTAAGGGTAGCCCTGTAAGTACGGCCTCTAGGGAGCAGAGGAAGAACGGACAAGTTCCTGTCTGCAATCTGATTTCATGGGCCTGAGGGGAAGAGGGGGAAATGTGTTAGGCTGAACTGTTTCGCAGGTTTCTTCCATGTTTAACATTCCAAAAGAAAGGAAAACATATTCAGCAAAACTAAAATCTGAACATCTTGTTTGAAAATACATACCTCATATGTATAGTTAGGGCAAGATACAAAGAAAAACAGCCATGTGAAAGGATTCTTTGTTGGATATGGGATCTTACGGGTTTTGGATCCTATAGATTAAAAAACAAATCACAAAATGTTCACATTCCTAAATATATTCTTTCCTATAAAGACAACCCAACTCTGCCTACTCCTGTGTGTCATCACAGGGGCAAGCAGGATGTGAGAAAACAGGATGTCCTCTGGACCCACAAGAAGGAATAGGATAACTGTGAGGAAATGTTCTGGGCATTAGAAAGTCATCTGCAGCCTTTGATCACAGTCACTCCTGTAAGAAGTAGGACCTTAAGTTTTAGATTTAGAAGTTCAAGGTTTTCTCAGATTGTCACAGGATGGGATTTTAGCAGTCACAGTTGATAGCTGTAGGATGTTTGGCTCATGCCCGAGGCCTGCACAGAGATCTTGTGCCCTCTGTAGAAGCCAGTGAAATTACTTGCCCTTGCTTACCAAAGCATAGCTTATACCAGCACTGTTTCCATTTGCACTATCAGCGTAACTAATACAACGCTCCCCCCAACACAACCTGGCCCTAACCACTAATTACAGTACACGCAGTGCTGTTTAACAGTCTGCTATTGGATTCCTTGCTGATCTCCCCTAGAATCCCATCTTTGCAGTGCTGAGCAACCAGTGCTCCCACAGCAGCCAACTGGCAGGGATCAGTGCCCTCCAAGATCACACCTTTCACGAGGTAGAATAACTGTGGAAGTACTGAACGGCTGCACAGAAGTGGAAAAATGATCGTGCCATCTTTACCTTTTCTCCGGAGGTCGCTGAGTGCAACGTGAATTGAAAAATTTCCAGCTTCACACAGCTGCAAGCAAAAAGAATCTATTATAAACATAATAAATATCCTTAACCAAGATCGCTGTCTGACAGGAGCATGGGATGTCTTTGTTCAAACGTGAGTCCGTATTATACTCTCTTATATATTTATGGTATTTGCAAGCAAATGTGGACTTGGTGTCCAAAAGATTGAATTTACTACATTTATAATCCCCATGAGATGTAAAGGCAATAAACCAAAGAGGATAAAAGTAAACCCAAGAGATACTTGCTTTATGTTTTGGTTATTCTTATGTCTTTAAAAACACTTAATCGATTAGGATAGCTTTGGTTTCTCGAAAGTTATTAAAAATCCCAAGGAAGATACAGGTTAGACTCTAAGTAAATTTTCTTCTCGAGTATAATTGATATGAATCATGGCATATAACTGGCCCAGCTTCCTCCACTGGTTTTAAATAATGCTTTCCCAATCAATTATGCAGAAAGTGTATTGAAATGACCCATTTATAGGATTATAGACAATCTCCAGTGTCTGCAAAGCATAACTATTAAAGCAAGTGACTGGTGGTCAGAGCTCCTGAGTTTCACTCCCAGCTCTGTGCTTTCAGTTACATAGTCTCTCTATAAAATGGGAATAGATTATGAACTCTCAGAATTTTCATACTGAGAAGCTGCTTTGAGATCCTGCAGTCACTGACAATTAGTTTCTCAAAGCAAGTGAACAGCTGATGTTCTCAACGAGTTACCCATGCATAGGAAAAATGGGTACAGTTTTGTTGGCTACACGAACGTTACTTCTGTGTGTATGAAATGTTCCTAGGAGCTGTGAGAATGAACAGACAGTGACTTAAGAATTTTTGCTTCATAAGGAAAGCTGTAAAAAAAATGAACCTCTATCCCTGGAAATTATCAGCAAGATACTTTCCTAGTTGACCAGTTCTCTGAGTTTTATGAGCTGTCGTGATTCCTAACACTCAAGAAACAGTTCACAAAACAATCTCACTGGCTTTTTAAACACAGTGTCACAAACTGGTAGTTTATGAGAGACCATCCCAGCAGATAAATATCCCAGTCTTGGAATGGATACTGAATCAAAATCTTCCCTTGTGTAAAAGACCACATTAAAGAGTGGCAGATTTACGTGTTCTGCATGCAAGTAGTCAGCTTTAGTAGAATATCCCAAGGGTTCAAGTTCTAAGTATCTGCTTATCCTACTCGCCCCTCCACTTACACAACATAAGAAATAAAGCAACATGTTTTAGCATTTTAGAAAAAGAGCGACAAACCTACCAGAAACATGATCACAGCAAAATTTATCTGTTTTTTCCCATAAGCTATAAAAAAAAGAAGTTTACATATGATTAGTACTAATACACAAACACATAAGTACTTAGATCGTATTGATTGCTACTTACAAGGAGGAGTGTAAAGAGGATGATTGATGTAATAAGCAAGCCAAGCTGCAAATCCCCAGTAATACAAGCAGTTCTGAAAAACAGGGAATTTTTCTTTGTTTTAGTACAATCCTCTAGGCCAGTAGTCACTGCAAGGACCGCTGATAAGAACGAACTGGGCTAATCCTTCAAGTTGCTGATAATACAACAAAAAACGACAACACTAAGTGTGGTAAGGTGGGAGCAGACAACAGGAAATAACAGAAAGGAAGTAGTGCTCATAGAGTAAGATTTCCTCTCAAATATCTTGCAGCTGTTAGGTTTATAAACAGTTTTAGAAAGTATGATCGTACTACTGAAATCAAATTAATTTTGTCTGGCAAGCGATGACGTGCCATACAGACTGTATGTTAGAGAGACTTGTTTTGCTAACCCCTGAGACTTTGTAAAACCAGATTTAGGCACTGTACTCTCTGCCTTGTGTATTACTTTGTATTGCCCTATCTCTTGCCCTTCCTCTTCTCCTTGACCCCATCAGTTTTCTTTCTTTCCCATGCCTTAACTTTCGCTGCCCTTTCACTGCTGTCCCTGGCTTTCTGTGATCCAGCGTCCATTCTCTAAACTCTGACAACATGGCTGTCACTAATGTCTCTACTGATTCATTCCTGACCCATCTCAGAGCTTGTCCACAGGCTTTAGCAATTAAAAAAAACCCCTACTTACAATGACAATCTCTACTTCTTGTCTGGTATCCCTGGCCCTGCCTCTGGTTTGTCCTCTGACGTTCATTGCTGCTCCAGTATCTTGGTGACAGGTTATCTTCTCCCTTATATATCTGTGGGGAGGAAGGAGGCCCTTTCTTGGCCCATTCCTCTTCTTCCTCTATGCTCTCACCTCTAGGTGCCATTCTGTTGCAGTCAGACTTTAAGCCTTGTTGACAACTCACACATTTGCCTCTTATCATTGAGATTTCTTCCTTTATCAAACCTAGTGTCTCAGGTCTTAACATTTTAGGGCACGTTTGGTTATCTCCTGGACTTCAGCAAGACCAAAACTGAGCTTTTTATCTTCCTTACACCACTGCTCATGTTCCTCTCCTTCCCCTTATCTGTCCTTCCCTCTTATTTTCACTCTTGAGTAAAACACCAACCCTCTTACTCTCTCTGGTGATGCTTTTTTCCTGGCCTTCCAATAGGCTGACACACCTCAGACATCTCTAGGTCTTTCTGCTGTCTTCGTCACAGGTTTTCTCTCTTGCTCACACAGCCAGAATTCTTATCCAAGGCTGCATTCTTTCCTGTCCTGACTGCTTTAACTTTCTTTTTTTCTTTTTGGCTTTGAATTTTGCAGCCTTTTTCCCCTGTATACACCAGAACTGCATTTCTAGCAATAATACCCTGAGAAGTGATTACCTCAGCATCTGCAACCCACACCAGCTGACTGCAGTGTCTGATGGTGCTTTTTTCTGACAATGCTGGGGAGGGGTAACCCCTCCTTGCTGCAAACAGTTGTATCAAACATTCTGTTGCATTTTTCGCTTTCTTTTCAGAGTTAATTGAACCACTGAAGCACCCAGAGACCTGAGACAAAATGGACACGCTTTGGGGTATGCTGTAATATAAGCACATAGTATGCCCTTACTCTGAGATTAGTATTTTGATAGATAACTGATGAGAAAGAGCAAACTATTAACGAATAATTGCAGATCAGGTCAGGCAAAAGAGCAGAGATTAAGTAGCTTCCCTGTGACGACTTCCCCTTTCTTTAGGAAAAGCAGCAGAGCCAGATCCAGTGAGGAACAATACAGTTCGTGTCCTGTCCACAGACTGCTGTTTCCTCCCTAACAGTAGCTTCTTCCACCATCACCTGCTATTTACTAACTGATCTACAAACTTAGGTGGAAACAGCTTCTTGCAGTCTTGGAGTGGCATCTCATGAAAAACCGTTCCCTGACTTCGAGACTTGGCACAGGATGGATCATATGGCAATGGATTTCAGTAAGTAAAATTAAATAAATTACCATGGCTCAGCTCCCAACGACACATGCTGTAATTAAACTGAACAAGCACAATTCCTCCAAAGAACATGATTTACTGCAAGAGTATTCCTCAGCTATAAGTAAAGGAGCTTTAAGATGAGTGGAGTCTGCCACTGCTAAGGTGCTTAGCAGTAACACTACAAATGTCCAGGTGCCACTAGAAGCTTTATTGCTCATACAAAAGCCTCCAGTGAGGTTCAGATGGGAACAGCAGAGTACGTGTAGACTTCAAAAAATTACTTGAAAGAAGGAAACTGTTTCTGTGAATCTTTCATATTCCAGGTGAATAATAAAGCTACACAACAATCTCTTCTAAAATGATTTTGTGGATCAAGTTCAGGTATTGCAGGGATCCCATAAATAAATGATTTCTAAGCTTACGAAGTTATGGTTAGGATTTTTGTCTTCTCTGCTTCAACTGATGATCCCCATGATGATCAAAACTATTTTGTAATGTCCTGCCTATGTTTATTGATGACCAGTGCGTACCCTTCTGTTTATCTTTCTCTGTTATCTTCTGGTCTAAATGGTATTTCTTTAGGTCTAGTGTTTTCTTTTCTCCAGATGTTTTAATAGAAAACAACACTATTCCTTCTTTTTACTCATGAAAATGTTTAGTGAGACTAAATGTTACATTACTAAATGTTATTATATTACTAAATGTTTAATAAGACTCATCTTTGAGGAATTCCACTGACACTTCCCTATTATTAAAAGTCTGACAGATCCTTTTCTGGCACAAGCGTAATAATCTTTCCTTTATTAGTTTATTTAGTTCCTTTATTACCATGCAATGTTTGTATTAATCTCTATCTTATTGATCCTGAGCTAGTTGTTTACTAAGTCAAGATAAATCAGGTATTCTACCTCTCCATTGCATAGAAAAATCATGTATCTTAGAAAGAATTACACTGTTTTAGGATACAGCATGAACTCCTTTTGGTGAACCCCTGATGCCTTTTACAGCATCATTTATTCCATTTTGGTAAACTAAAAGATTAAAACCAGAAATCTCATCAATTCCTGTCTCGGATCTCTGCTTCTTGAAACTGAAGAGTTTCTTGTTAAAGGTGGCCTTAGATTGCACTTAGGAAATAAGCTATCTATATCTGCTATGTATGTGATCAAACACGTAAAGTCAGAAGCTTTGCGTACCATCTGTATGTGAGAGAGAAAAAGGAAGAGGATGTGATATTTTTCTCACTGGCACAATTTTGGAGTAACACCACCACAGCCAACGAAATTACAAAAGCAAATTAAACCCAAGCACTGCTAAGCAGGTAGAAGAACAACTGTGAGCAACTTTACAGATGAAAGCAAGTACCACCAACCTGAGAAGGTGGAAAAGTAGAAGTGATCAGAATGGCTGCTACAAATGTCATCGTTAGCAATAACAGTGTGTATGGTCTGAAAGGAACAAGTAGTTGTCAGAGATGGCAGTGAGAAAATGAAGATTTAGCACACTGTACAGGTTCTTTTTCAAGGTAAAGTTGCTCATGTATCTGCTGTTTAGCATGCATTAGCTGCTGTTGTGTCAAGAACAAGTCTTTAAGAGATCTGCTGTCCTTTTAACAACTCCTGCACTCCTCCACTGCTGAAAACACAGGAAATTGCCAGGGAAGGTTCTTTCTGAGGGCCACTGCTCAACTACAGACCGTCTGCATTTAGAAAGAATGGAGCTACTGCCAGCACTACCAGAGCTGCTGCACAGCTGTAAGGAACAAGCCACACCGTAGAGCTTCAGCTGCCAGGAGTATCACTGCTATAATGCAAATTCTAAGGGACTGTCTAAATACTAGATGTTAAATATCCAAACACTGCTAATATACTCGATGCTTTTCCAATTGCAGATGATAATCACCTGTCTCCCTGAATAGGAGACATATTTTTGAATTGCCTGTTGCAAACATTTGTAAAATAACTACAGCCCAGGTGTAACCATGCAGTCCACTGTGCTGCTTTGCAGACATCTAGGACACAGGGGTCTGCATCTCAACAGCTGCCCTGGTACTGCCACAGCAGCACTGGTAACATCAGGGAGAGAAAATCCAGAACAACCGAGCTGCTTTGTGCTAGATCAAGGTAAATTAACAGTTGCTTAACAGCAAAGAGAGTGTTTGGGGCAAATAAGTAAAATGACTGTCATAAAAAGTAGAGTTTGGTGGTTTTTTTTAAAGAAACCCTCCCAGCATTGTGCCTGCCTTAAAACTGAATATTGTTACCAAAACCTTCACACCCCAGGGCTACCTGAGAGAAAAGGAAGGGTACACTGAATGTTTAAAGTACTAAAAGAGCAATGAGACTACTAAAACATGAATAACAGCACGGCAACATGGGGGTTATACAATAGTGACATTAAGAAATCTTTTGAAAGAGCTACAGCTTTATGGGTGAGATTTGCTGTGCATTACTACAAAAGCCACACCAAAAAAATCTATGCTGCAGAGGCAGAGCATAGGTTGGCTAGGTTGGATTTTTAAGGGGGCTATGGATAGATTCTGACACAATTTACCTTCACAATATTCCTCAGTGGCATAGTCCCATGGGAGAACCGATGAACAAATACTGTTTCAATCAACCTTTTGATGTAGTGGAAAGAATGGCAGATACATGCCAAGCTAGAAACAGCAAGACAAAAGCATTTAAGAGAGCTTAAAAAAACAAGTGTTGCAAGACATTTGGCATAAGACTACAATGCTAACAAGAAATACTGCTCAAGCCTGCAAACGGACTTACTTAACTACTGGATGCGGGCTTGATGTAAACCTCTCATCCAGTCCATAGACAAAAGGCATGCGGAAATAAAACAGAAAATAGATGAACAATGGACCTGTATATTCTATCAAAAATACCTGCAAAAAGAGAGAAAATAATTAGACAGCTGAATTAGATGATGGTTTTGCTTTGGTTTCTTTGTGATAACTAATGCAGTGGCATAAACACCTCCACTGCCCCAGGATGGCATTTAGAGAGGCAGGGAGGGAACAGCAGGTTTGGGCATGGGCTATGAAACTGGTAGACATGCACATGGATGTTTTGCTTTTGCTTCAGTTGCATACAAACAGCCATTGCCAGTGCAGCTGACACAGTATGGGTATGAAAAGATAATAACAGCAGCCCTGAGATCATGATAAATACGCATGCATGTTACATTTACGCAGCTCTCGCCCTCCTCTTGCCCTCAGAAACTGTTACTCTAGTTTGGGTGCAAATGAAATTTGGTGAATAATTTATCTGGAAAAGAGGAGTTTTGTTTCTGATGAATGAATCTTGTTTAAACTGGAAACGCAGCCTGTACGTATTCACAGGTGAGCTCATCTGCATGAACAGCGAGCACAGCAGATGTCCTGGGAAACTACCAATTCATTGTATGTTCAAACAATCCTTAATTTGAACACAAAGGGGAAAAAAAAAACACCAAAATTTAAAAAAAGGAAAGAAGCAATTTATCTAACTCGATTTCATTTCAGATAGGTGTGTGTTGCTCAGGATCACTTTAAATTGAAGTTAACTTTGGACCAAACCTTGCCAGCAGAATTTTCCACGCTTCTGTAAGGTAGGCCAATGGCTCATTTATGGAGAAAGAAAGGAAACTGATTGTACTTCTGTCAAAAAAGCCCAAGAAAACCCAACCACTGTTGTCTAATGTGTTTACAGAGTTCATTTGACACTCAGAAAAGTTGTGTTATTGACTTCTGTAATGATCAGCAGTTTCTCTGGTGAAGATCAGATTTGATTGTACATTCGAAGGTCCTATTTTTCATTTGATAAAACTGAAGTATTTCTTGGCCTACATTTGAGTGAAGTAGCTTGAAGGGCAGAGAGAGCAGAATGTAAAGGAAAGATTATGGAATGGCAGAAGCCTGCTGTTACTCTGCATCGTGGTATTTTGGTACAGATTAATGCACGTCTGTCGTGGATTCTACGTTGCCATTAGAATTCTTTGCCTGTCTTACTGGTTTTTTGGATTGTGCAATAGGTGCCTGATTTATCAGCACTGCGTCCAAAGTAATGATGTGGAGATTCGGTCTTGCAGAACATTTGACTTATTTTTATTTCACCTTCTATCAATGTTGTCTTTGCTATTTGTCATTAACACAAGAGTTTATTAATGTCTCATAGCTAAGAAATGGTAAACGTGTTTTACGGGGTACATTTCCCTTTGTGCTGTGCTCTTTCATTAGAACTGGTTTAATACGTGCATCATGGACCTTCTGAAGAACCGGAAGGGTCATTGGTCCCCTCACTGCATAAACAGCAGTGCTGTGTTGCCCGCCGAGTGAGTTGTGACAGAATTTGCACTTGAGCTAAGACAGTAAGTATGTGAGCTCTCTGAGGATGCCTACGAGTACTGCAGAAATGATCAGCTGTCATTAGCCTGCCACTCGCATCCTGGGACACAGCCACATGCAGACAGCTACCTGATCTTA